TTGATTCTTACTCGAATAAATATTATATTTTATAATTTCGTAGAATTAAAAACATCAGTAGGTTATGTTACTTTTGTACACATGATAATAAATTTACTATAATAATTAATAAGTAATAACCAACTAAATTAATAACATTTATGATATTTTAATATATAACAATAATATTAAAGGAAAAAAAAGATTCAAGACTAATTTTGTACACATAAAAAAACATCAAATATTAATGTTATTAAATAAATAGGTAGGTATAGGTACGTATASTTTTATCAGGAGCTCATTGAAATGGTTTAGCACGATGGACATTTTACGTAATTACATCATACCTATTATTGATAATGATATATTTGGTCATGTCTATTTAGTAACAATTAAGACAACTAAAAACAATATGTAGGTAATTCTTACGAAATACTTATAGATACACGAATACATACAAATATAATACACAAAACTTATGATTTGTGAGATAAGGAATTAAACTCGATAGCGAAGGTATCTATCCAAAAATTATTTTGAACATCTTATATTTACCTAGGCTGGAGGTACAGATACATTTTGTTTACAGATAACAATATTTAAACAAAACATTTTTAAGTTAACACAAATCACGTTAGTCCCGTTGAGATTGTTTATATAATTTTAATAGGTACCTAATTACTTGACAATTTATTTACATATAATATACGAAAAAATTGGTTTTTTTGTTCAAACACGTCTTATCCTATTATGCCTATAGTAATCCACTAATATTGTCAAATATAATTTAAGACGTTCTCTGTTGACAATTCATCATCGTTATATCTAATAATATTAGACTAATGTACCATCATACCATAATATTGTTATATTTACCTTATACAAAATTATGCATATAGTCAACACAATATTGACGGCTGATTTAACTATACCATAACTAATATATACCTATATATTTTACATGCTTATGGTACCCTGTTTTTCATTAATAATAACGTATCATTCTGATAAACGCTCATGATGATTTGGATAACAGTATTCCGCATAAGACAATGCAATAAAAAATTACAACAGGCTCAGGATTAATTGGCACACAGTTATTTTTACCTTCTCTGTTTGACGTGGACCCTGTAATCATAAAATCATGGCTTATATTTAAAAATAGAGCGTAAAAGTGATATTTTAGGGGTTTGGCTTAAACAATATATAGGTATGCAATATAAAAAATAAATAAAATTGGTGTTAGTTAGTGCTATATACATTTTATTTTATATTTTAGTTGCTACCTTAATTATCATATATTTTTCCACTAATCTATTGGCAGATATATATTTAGAAGGAGGGGGAGGATTGTTACAGTGTATTATATTAATGAAAATCACTTCACAGGAAAAACTTTTAAGCTTCATTAGTTTGTTAAATTTTGATTTTTTTTTCTGAAAGATAAGAACTTTTTTTCAGGTCAGATCAAAGTTGGAATTTTTATTTTACTTTAAATATCTCCCTAGGTACTGCTAGAAAAATATGTTTGGAAAAGAATAAATATTGTGCATTATTCAAATACATATTTTAGCGTCTATATAATTTAAAAGTCGAGCTTTGATTTGATCTGCAAAATGTTTTTCTCTTTTAAATACATAAAAATAACTAAAAAAATCTAACTATTCAACTGGTCATGAGAGTTTTTCTTGAAAAACTCATTTTTGTACGCACCGGCTACGACACTCTCGTGAAAAAAATAAACGTTGATGATTTCATCAAGCCAAAATTTGTTCAAAACATCTGTCATGAATTCATGATTGCAGAATCAGAAGTTAAATCGCAGAATAAATGATTATACTGAAATAAGCGATCATGCACTAAACGTTTAAGAACCTTTATGGTCAATCTAAAAAAAAATTATAATTTGCGTTCTTATACCAACAGATTTTTAGTTTTAAAACGCATCTGCCGTGAAATTATGTTATAGCTTTGAGGTATGAAGTAAAAATCAAAATTTCATCATGACTTAGGTATTTATAAAATCGTTTATTATCATAGGTTTTGAGCTATCTAAAGTGCTGTGGTATTAATATTACACTATTAAGATTTGAAAGTTAATATTATAATTGTTCAAATGCTGTAATAGAGCATACTCACTTTCAAAATCCCCAAAAATGAAATGAGAAAATTTAAGACATTTTTTTGAAATACGTGTGAAAAAATTTGTAAATACATAATTTAATATATTATATAAGAATAAACCGTTCTAGTTGTTTCACGAACATAGTTTCTATTTGATTATTCTAATCTTATATTATTTATTTATTTAAAATACCTACTATGACTACACGCTATTCCTTATAAACTTTTAACTTTTTGTTGACAACTGAAAGTCTGCAAATTGGCGTAAAGCCGTAAAGTAATACTCAATAGTTTGATACGGCAAAAACGACCACACATAAAACGGCCGTTTTCACGGCCACTAAATCATACCGTATGACGATATAATGTAACATAAACAAGTGTACAATAAATACAAACAAGACTAATTTCAAAAAGTATTGTCGACGAAAATGACGAGTGAAAATGACATCAATGATTTCTAACAAGTTATAGGATTGATGTCATATTCACTCGTCAAAGTAAAGCCCCCCGCCAATGAGGACAGCGCCCGGAGCGGACAACGGGTATATTATAATATACGGGTGCATTTTACCAGTTCATCATCGGCATAGCCACCCCAACAAAGCAAAGCAAAGCAAGTTCATCATCAGAACTCTTTCAACATTCAACACCTCGAAACATCAGAATAGTCAACACGCTCAACTGTCAAGTGAAGAATAGAAGGAAAACCAAGGCTGTCACTTAGGAAAACTGTCCACGGAATCCCAAGCACGACCCATACAACCAAGAACCTCGGACGGCGATACAGCCAGACGCCGACACCGACCGCTTATTAAACAGCCCGTTTCCTGCAGGCTAAACCGATCCGACGCACAGTGTTCCAGAAAAGGTTTTTAGCAGGACAAAATTGTTTATTTATAAAATTGTTTTACTTTTCGGATACTTAGATCATTTTATAATTCAGTTTTTACCTTGTGTAATCATTAAGTCCTTAAACCAAATTTTCGAACTCCGACGATATGTAATATTATTWTTTTTATTTAAACATTTTTTTTTTTTAGAATCAAAAAAATAAACTGCTTAGTAGTTAGTATATTATTTACTCTAATAATACAATAAATATATTATTATGTTTGAATTAAAGTTAGAATTTTAAAAATATAATATTTTTTTTAAATATAATAGGTACTATGTATTGGGCAGCAACTTGCCGCAACCAAATAGTATAATGTCGTTTAGAGGACAAGTTAAGCTAATAGAAAACACCAAGTTCAAACCTCTACTATCCACTACTATTTTTTTAGTATTCTTAATAAATTAAAAAAAAAAATGTATCTTACATTTTTAAATATTTCTATATATATTACCTAAATTTTTCATGCAAAACTTAATAAAAATAAATATATACATAATTTCCACTAGTGTATCCATAATGTTGAAGAAAAATGAACGGACTAACTTCATTCAACGAACGACACTAACGGTATAAAAACTATACGCTCTAACAATTTAGYTGGTAATTGAAAATCTAATTTCAGACTATTAGTACAATCAGTTCACTATTATAACTGTATGCGATAGCGTATAAATTTAAAAACCTATATTATATAATCAGTCACTGACTATCAACAAATTAAATTMATTTTTATGTTCAATTAATGATTATGAAAATTCTAATTTTGTCCACCTAAATCAAATTTCTGGAACACTGTGCGACGTGTCTGTCAACCGGATCCACCAACCGTATTTGTAACATCGTCCACAGACCTCTCACGGTCAATCCAGCCCACGCCGCACACTAGACAGTAGACGATCATCGTGGCGGCCAATAAAGGATGCATATTGTAGTGAAATAACTACCATCCAGTAAACCACCCAAGCATCCCCGGGYCGAAACATCGACACACCGGAGATCAGTCGATTGAAGCCAAGACCGCTGATAGATCCTGGGAGCTCCGGATAAAGCCCAAAGACCAAGATCTACACGCAGTCGGCGGAAACTAAAATAAAATGGTCCTTATCAGGGCCACTAACGACGCATAGGGCCACGCTTCCCACCCGGGACTATAGATCGACGTCACTTTTTCGAGCGGGCTGATCATAGCCACCCGGGTCGTCCCGTCATTATATGTATAGGACCAAATACCCGTCAATGTGAGATAGCCTCGTCTCCGAGTACTAAGACCTATAWAGTCACGGGGACGTGTGAAATCAAGGTCCCATTATCATTTGTAAATGTCAATTTTATGTAAAATACCTATAACATTGTAATTACACAAGAACACTCCTGTATATTTTATTAAAAGTGACGKAGCATCGTTCACGGTAGCCCCGTTACAAGATTCTTATAGTTAAGAACTTATTTAGRAAAATAGTTAAAGTAAAGGTTGTATTTATGAATACGCTTTATGTGGTAGGTATAACTACTTTAGTATTTGAGTACTTATTATACCTGTTATATGCTGCAGGCCGTTATTTGAAGCTGTCACGGAGGTCTGATAATTATTGTTCCAGTTTTTTCCTGGTAACTCTATAAAAAATAAATATTTTTGTATATATCAAATGTTTTTAATTAATCTTTTTTTTTAGTATTTTTATTTTTATTGATATATTATCTTACTATAAACTTTGATAGTCCCGTCTGTTGCACCTAAAGAGTTTTTTGAAACACAATGGTACGTGCCGAAATGTTCTTCTTTTACTTGATTAATAGTTAATCTCATTTCTGTTTTATAATTGATTTCTTTTAACGTTGTATCGTAATTATCTCCTGCAATAGAATTTTTTTAATTTTAATATATATTTATTTATGTGGGAATCTATCAACATATTGAAATATAAATAATAATAATAATTAAAAATGTATGGATAATAGTTAGGTAAATAYCAATATATATAWAAAAAAAACTAAACATAAAGTACTAAAATGTTATTAATTAATAAAATGTGCAGGTGTAATCGTGACCGGCTAAGTTAAAACAATCGGACTTCTCTCCCTCTCCTTCGTAATCAATCTCATTCTCTTTTACTAACGCTCTAAAAACAAACTCCTACCCTTAAGTACCTCAAATGGATGGCTCCTTATCTCCTGTCTTTCAAGCCATGTTACTTCCATTTTATACATATACACTTATTGTAAAATAAAATTGCAGATTTTATGTTGATTTAAAAAAATAAAATAAAATAATTAAAAGTCTTATTATAATTACTATTTTTTTTATTAGTAGTTTAGTACCTACAATTGGTAGTTTTTGTAATACGATTTGCATCACCACAATCAGTGATATTTTAAAATCTTAAATATTATGGTGAAAGRAATTTAGGACAATCGTCATCATATAAACAATTTCCAAATTACATGAAACATATATTGTACACAGATAATACCATATTAAAAAAGCGGGTAAGTGGATGTCGCTCTGCTATACATTAGGTAGTGGGGTGGACTTTGGACCTCTGACTAGGGTAGGTTAAATTTGAATGCAATGATAGGTATCATTGTATACGAAAAACGATTCTGAACGGAGATGATTAATTGTCAGTCTAGGATATATTATATTTAAATATTGTCATACATTCTATTTTGAAACAACTATTTTATTTTTCAATTAGGACGCATTTTGCATAAGGCATGGTTAATCAATTTTTCCAAAAACATTGCATGTAGTTATCATAATAACCTAGTTTGAGGATAAATCGTTATCGTTACGTGATTTCATAAAAATTTAAAACTTAAACGCACTTAAAATTTTTCGTATAATGATGCTTCGAGTTTTCTCTAAAGCTACTTGAAGGAAAACTTAGTATTGTATTTTTAATCCTTAGTTATAAACACAAAMATTTTTATGATTTTTCAACTACAAAATTACTTGCAAATTTTCGCGTTTTCCACAGATTTCGTAAAAATTTGAATTATAAACGCTTATAAAAAAAAATTGTGCCAATRTATTCTTATAATTTTTTAATCAATATAAGAATAACTTATGAGAAACTTTGTATTAAATTTTCAAGTATTTTGATAGGACCAAAAAAATTTTATCGACACTTCAAAAAAAAGTTTTCAGAACAATTGAAAATTTCAGTTGTCTATAAATATCTCAAMAAAAGYCAAAATATTTTGAAAATTAAATAATGTAAAGAAAATGCCAATCTAAATAACTGGTAAAATTTTCGAGTATCTACAACTTATACTTTTTGAATAATAACAAATATTTAAAATCGTTTCAGGATAAATCGTTATCGTTATGCTATTTCGTAAAAATTTAAAATTCAAAAATGATGCTTCTAGTTTTCTCTATAGCTACTTGGAGGAAAACTTATGAAMAAYTTAGYGTTGTATTCTTGTATTTTTATTCTTTATAGTTATAAACACAAACAATTTTATGATTTTTCAACTTCAAAACTACTTGCACATTTTCGCGTWTTCGACAGATTTCGTAAAAGTTTTAACTATTATACACGCTTATAAAAAAAATTGTGACTAACGATTTTTAATTTTTTTTAGGTACTATAAGAACAACTCATAAGGAATCTTGTGTTAAATTTTTACCGACACTTCAAAAAAAAATTCTCATAAAAATGGAAAATTTCAGTGGTCTACAAATAACTCAAAAAAGTCAAAAATTTTTCGAAAAACATTTCGTGAAAATTTCAAGTATTTACAGTGATTAGTTTTTGAATTACAACCATATAAAAAAATCGATTTGGCCGAAAACTGATTTTGCGTAAAATTTCTCGTTTTTCTGTCATTTTTTTTTGTTTTTCTCGATTTTTTTGAAAACTGTTGGAAAATGTTAACTTTTGACCTCTATAATGCATCAAGGATATTCACTTTTACATCCACGAAACCTCCCCCAAAGTTTGAAGGTATTTCGACTAGTTATGCTGTACACAGACACACACAAAAAAAAAAAACACACACACATCATTGTGAAATCAATACATTCATCACTTCGTTCAGAATCTAAAACCATATTTAATGCACATTTAGATGAAAATCTAAATCTGAATGTATTTTTTGTAAACAATTATTTTGTAGTAGTTTATAAAACTAAATGTCATTTATTTGGCAACCATTATAATAAATAATAATCTATATTTAGTCCTTAAAAACGAATTAGTCTTACTATTACAAAATAATTGTTTAAAAAGTAGGTATCTATATTATTATATGATATATCTACCTTGAGTCAGTAAGTTTCCGTTTTCTGACGACCAATAATTTATGGACTTCGGGAATGCCTCGACGTGACATTCTATTGACAATCGATCTCCCACAAAAGCACCAACTAGTTGATTTTGAATCCAAACCATGGGAGCGACTGAAAAATATTGAGAATAATTGTAAGTAAAAATCAATTGAGTTGGACCAATATAATAATATTATGGTTGTCGTATTATAGATTATTTT